GAGGGATTGGTGTCAAAACACTGGCTGCTAATGGATTACTTGTTCAGACAGGACTGTGGTTGTTCCTTTGACTGTTTCCAGTCTCACTGTCGCCAGTTTAACCCACTCAGGCTCAAAATAAGTTTTGATAAAAGGACGAACAACATGAAATACGTATGTGGAGTAACCAGGTAAGTAGGTTTTAACTGTTGCAAATCTGCAACGCCTGCCTCCAGAGGGTTAATGAGGCAAAGTGGCCATGTTGGATGTTTTTATGTTTTAAGCACACAGAAGGTGGACGTAATGTTAGAAACACACGCTGGCTGCTGGCTGACGCATGGACCCACTGCTGTTAGAGGGTTAGTCTGCTCCCATAAGGCAGGTGATATTGTTATTACATGTGTGTGCTGATCAACATTAGCAAACATCAAAATGCTTTAAACTCTCTAAGTTTTACAGCTATTAGCTGAGACGTGTTCAAAACAAATGCTTGAGATTGTAAATCTTCAAGATTTGACTAAATGGCAATAACGACACAATTTCTCAACGTAAAATGATCATAGCTTCAAATTCTGCATTAAAAGGTGGCAGGTGATTTGTTTAAAAAAAAACTTAAAGGGACTTTACAGAGTTTTGAATATTTATGCTCGTGATTGCCCCCTCAGGCCAAATGCGTAACAGCAGCTTCAATAGGAGGCTCGTGCACGAGGCGCGCATGCTGTACGTGCACACTCCTTAACGAAAATAACAGCTGAGACAGTCCTTTGTGTGTGTGTGTGTGTGTGTGTGTGTGTGTGTGTGTGTGTGTGTGTGTGTGGCCCGGAGGACAGAGGACAGGAGAACGCACAGCTAATTAATTAAATAATTTGGTTCTGTACCTTTCTCTTCAGCACAGCCGACAAAGGTTTATGATGCGTCAGTCCTCCTGCATGCTCAGATAATTCCTTTCCCTTGCTTGAAAAATTGTTCCAAAATGAAAGTTGAACCCACATCTTTTTTATCTGTGAATTCAATGTCGTTCGGCAAGTCTCAAATAAAAATTTGGGCATCTTACTGTAAAAAAATATACCATTAATGTAAAAAACAAACAAACTCTAAAACAACTACCGGTATGTCACATCCAGAATCAAACCCAGGTCTTCTGCACGAAGAGCCGCAGTCTTATTAGACAAGCTAAACCACCAGTGACGTCTTCTGTATCTGTAACATTTGTATCCTTGATGACAGCTTAAACAACGTTTAAAGAGCGGTTTGGAGGGCTATGCCTGAGCATGAACGCGCATGAAGCAGCCTGCTCGACCCGAGCAACTCTCTTTTTCTGTGATTTTACAGAAAAATAGGCAATCACAATAAAAATGTCAGGGCTCATTTTACAGGACCAGGGCATTGCAGGAGAATGTATGAAGAAGACATGTATTATTTCTATACATGTTTTGGCTGTCAAATTTCCATAATGCCCCTTTAAAGGTGTGGCACACTCATTGAATCAATACATTTGCAGTGCTCTAGTAGGAATGAATGCCTTGCAAGTCATACTCAAGGGCAAATAAAGCTCCGATGTGCTTGTTTCAGAAACTAGAAGAATGCCTCATCAGAAGAGAGCTTTACACGGCAGTATTTGGAGTCTTATTTGCTGATAATTGGACATCTTGTCTCTGATTGGATAACTGCAGCAGGACTCTACCACTGCTTTGCAACGTTGATGTTTTATCTTTACAAATAACACAAGCCTGGAGGAGTTATTTCATGTGGTGGAGTTGCTAATGCTAATGATTAGCTTCTAACAGCTGAGACGTTCTCTGCTGTTTCCTGGATGTTAAACCAACAACAGCCTTCCATCGCGAGTCAAAATGGGTGAGTCCATGAACGTCAAGTGACTGTGTGACGTAGATCTGTCTGATTTTCACCATCTATTTCCTACCAGAAGCTAATGCAGGAGATAGGTGTAGGAGACTATTTTCATCTTCAGCCTGCATGAAAAACTCAGAGTGATTGGTTATAATCAGAAATAATCATTAAAAAAAAGCTTTTTCAGTGTTCCACACATTTGAATTTTATTATAGATTTAATCAACATCAAGAAGAGCTATTTAGTTAAAACTGTACATCAATCACTGATAATGAGACCAAGTATTAAAAAAAGATCTGTTTGATAAATAACTGTAAACATGTTGGGACTACATGGGAGAAATCATGCTGTTTGTGAATTAGCTTGAAAACATTTTCCACTGCAGGTCTGCCTTAACAAAAGAATTCTCTTTTCTGCTCCGGTTTGAAATGGGTCAATCTTAAAGTGTCAGCTGTTGCTTTCAAGTTTCTTTGGAAGTGCAGCAGGCCTGGGTTAATTGAACAAAAACGGAATTAAAAAAGGACAATGTGTCCTGAAAAGGGAAGTTTAGATGGCACAAAAACTGTGACAGCAAGCCACACTTGTTTGTGAATTTACTCTGGTGGTCTCCCTTTTTTCCTTGCAAAGTAAAAATTAAAAATCTTACAACATCTGCCCCACGTTTGGGTTACTATGACCATTCTAGTGATCACTCATCTTTCTATTGAAGAGCAAGTTACCCCCAAATCAACTTTTTTTCTGATAAACTATATAAATGTGTGTCTAATCATGCTGCAGACACGTGTAGTCAATAGTTTTGCCCTTCAGTGCATTTTAGTTAAAATTTAAATTTTCTGCCTAAAACTGTCAGTGTTGCGCCCTTGTCAGGTAAAAACTCTGCACTGCATTTGAATTTAAATCTGCCATCGTTATTGGCTAAGAGGTACCCTAGGATGTTCACAATGTCGTTGTGAGCCTGTGTGTGTATTTGTTGGCGGCTCCGCCCTCTCGGTCTGCTAGGCAACAGCATTTGTTTCATTTTTCAAACAGGAAGTGGGAGTGGAGTAATACTCTGGTAGGGGGTGACTTGCTCTTTAAGGACTTTTGCTGTTTTTATACGGAGCTTTATGTTTTTTTTTGTTTTGGTAAAAATTAAATGGTTTTCAAACAAATATATGAAAGCCTCTTTTTCAATCTGAAATTGAAAGTAATGAAAGTTAATTGCAGTTTTGTTTTCATTTAGAGGTAGTTTTGTGCTTGTATTTTTATTTGTAGGGGTTCAATAATTCTCATCAGCATCATTGTCGTCATCATTGTCGTCGTCATCGTTGTCATCGTTGTCGTCGTTGTCATCGTTGTCATCGTTGTCGTCGTCATCCACTGATTTCCCTCTTTCCTATTCCCTCACTCTCTTTCTTTCTTTACATTTTTAATCACAATTGTCTATTGGTGCTCATTTTAAACATATTTTTAATCATTCTTTAAATTCTTTTTTATATTTTAAATTTTTTGTTTTTGTGAAGCGCCTCGTGATTTTTATCTTGAGAGGCGCAATAGAAAAGATCTTTTCTTCTTCTTCTGAGCTCATCATTAGCCAGCTGATTAAGTAAAACATTAAGTTACTAAACTATAAATTAAAACTTGTTTTTAAATTGATTTTTTTATCCAGTACATTTGAGCAGAAATTGGCTGACTCATTATTTCACAAGTCACAAGTAAGTCTCATGTTTTTCTACTTAGATCTTAAGACAAGATTGTCTTGAATATTGAGTTTTGAGACCAAAACGAGTCATTTAACCATATTTTTCATTTAATTACAGTTTAATAAATCATTTTCACACAGCTGAACATGTGAAAAAAGGTGGAGTACCGATATAATAACATTTCACAGCACATGTTGATTTTATTATGTTCCTCTTGTGTGGGATATCAAGTATTTTTTTAAATTAACAGGTTCAAGTCCAAGTGAAGTCATTAGTTACTAGTAAATGATAAATTACCTGTATTTATATAGCATGTTCTAGGTTCTACAACCCCCCAAGGCTCTTTAAAACACAATCGGTCATTCACCCATTCACACCCTGGTGATGAGCTACAATGTAGCCACAGCTGCCCTGGGGCACGCTGACAGAAGTGAGGCTGACGAGCACTGGGGCAACAGTCCCTCCGACCACCAGCAGGCAAAGCCGGTAAAGTGTCTTGCCCAAGGACACGACTGGGGCTTGAACCTGCAAGCCTCTGGTTATGGAGTGGGCACTTAACTAATTTTTTCTACCACATTGCCCATGTTACCCTTACTAGGGTAAAGCCTGAATTGTGTCCAGGGGCTTTTGTGATTACTTCAAGTCAAGTCTAAAGTTTTCAGACTCACAATTATAGTTTGACTCAAATCTAATTCACTTGAATCGAGCCTGTGCTTCTGAAGATTCATGTATCACACTTCAGGCACAGTCTGAAGCTACTTTCTGGTCTGGATGACTTCTACATCCTCAAATAGGACAACAGGCATTCATTCCTACAAGAGAATGTTGCAAATGTATTAAAAGATGAGTAAGCTTTATCTTTTCACTGACAGAAGTGAAGCTGCTGAACACAGGCGGTACATGTCCCTTCGACCGCCACCAGCAGGCAAAGCGGGTTGCTCAAGGACACAACAGCAGCATTCTCTGGTCAGATTCGGGATCGAACCTGCAACCTTCTGATTACAGGGCAACCTTCTGCTGTTAATTATTAAGGAATTATTGTGTGACGTTACGTTTATTGATGTGTAAACGTTTATAAATATACGCCTTTATACAGTGTTTTTACTTTTACTTACACTTATTTTAAAATGGCTGGAAACTCTTTGTAGCTGGTCCAGGCTCATCTTTCGAGTCAGGACTATCTGTTTCTTCAAACTGGGGTGATTCAAAGCACTTTTTACAATGGGTAGGCTATCAGTTTTACGTACTACTTAAATAAAACCATATTTGTACATTTCTGAACTAACATTTCCGCAATTTCCTTCTCGGTTAGAGCATTTAGAACCATAAATCGCTCTGAGAGCTGTGAAGCTATAAATTCCGAGTTTGGCAGTGTTCCGTGAAGGCGTCAGCTCCTGGGACGTTCACTGCCCTCCTCCTCCGCCTCGCCCCCGCTCCGCAGCCAGCCGCTGCCTGCTGCCCAGGCCTCCTGCTGGCCGCTGGGCTCGGGATGACGCCACCTCACGCTCCGCCCCGGCGCAAACTCGCTCCCTGCGTTCATTTCATTCCTGTTCTCATTCCGAGCATTCTTCGCATCTCTGTCAGTGCGCGAAGCGATTCACCTACACCTTCCTGGCTGGCCCAGAAACACCAGAATAACTTGACATAGTATTCAAAATACCCAGTAACATCATAATATCAAAAGAAAGGGACATTTGTATATGAGGTATCAATAACGAGGTAAGTTTCAGTGGTAGTTGCAGGTATGCAAACTGGCTGTAGACTTGTTCACGGGGTTAGTTTGGGTCTTTTGGAAACGCTGCACATTGGATTAAAATGTTATCCTATTTATTTATCTTTTTATATGTTCACGTCCCAGCTCGTGGAGTAACGTTTGCTCGTTTGTTTCCTCGGCGGGAATAGATGGCCGCTGTTGCAACAGGGTGCTTCACTTTAAACACTGTTGTAGCTCACGGCTTTGACACGGCAGGAGAAAAAAAAAATCTTTGACATTTTTCACATTTTTTGTAAAGAAGCCCGATCGTACGCCCCTTATAAACGCCTCAGATGGCCCGAGCCAGGCTGCGGGGGCAAAAACTCGAATTCGGGACGAACAGAGAACACACACAGAACGAATTACAGCCTTTTTTTGGGACAAGATGACGGTTGAAAACGGTGCTGTTTTCCTCTCCGTAGTTGGCTCAGCCGGGAGTTGTTGGAGGCTTTTCGGACCACCTCGGAGGAAGAAAGAGCTACACGGCGGGGGAGAGACTTGTTGCGTCGGCTCGGTGGACGGTGCAGCCTCGGATTACCGTCGAAAGTTTAGTGTGTAAGTACGTTTTTGAATGCTGGTTTGTGATTTTCTCCCTCCGGTCCGACCCCTCTTCCATGTTGTTACTGGAACCGAACCGGACCGGAGGGGAAAAGCTCCGTCGAAACTAGTTTATTGTGCCATGCTAATGTAGCTAAACGACGTATTAAAACACAATCTTCTGACTTATTTTCTGATTGTTTGAAACACTATAACAGGGCCTATTGTGGGAAAATATTTGCTTACATTTATTTGAGTGGCTCTGTTACTTTGTAACAGACCATTTATTCTAAATGTGGGTCTATTATAAGTTATTAAAACAAGATAAAGTTTGCTTTAATTTGAGGTTTCCTTCACTGGTGTCATTTTTATCTGCCTGTTCAGGTAAACCACTCCTCACTAGCAGCAAACCAACTAATAGATTATGGTTATCAGTTCGTCCACATATATTTTTTAAATAAAACGTTTTAGACAAGCAGCTATTTTGCAACTTGGAAGCTTTTTAATGGGATGTAGTCTGCTGAAAAGGTAACATATAAAGCTTTTCTTTAACTCAGTTTTTTTCTGTTTTGCTTCAGTGTCATTCAAGATTATATACACAGTAAGAATAATGATACAAAAGTAGATGATTAGTAAATAAGACAAATATTGACATAAATTATTATCATTGCATCTAAAATTCAGGACAAAAAACAACTAAATATCTTTACCTTTATTTTTGTTTTTTATTATTCAAATAAATTCAAACAATAGCAAAAATACAGATATTACAGGTGTATAAATAAATATAACAGTGATCTGTTCAGATTTTTTCTATTAGTTTGGATTTTTCCTCTTTAATGTGTTTATGTTCTAACTCTACAATAGAATTACTTCTGAAATGTATTTTGTGATTATTCAACATTAAACATATTAACAGCCATGAAACAAACCACCTCTGGGAACATATATTTTTCCACATGACATGGCTGTAAATGTAAAATTTTCTCGGTCCAACTATAATTCGTCACATTTAAAGTCAGCGTTGTACTTTCATGCGTTTTCCATTTTTTAATAGTCAGGTTTTTGGGATTCTTTTTGACAATCAGGCAATCAGGTCAAAGCTGACAGAGCTCTGATAGTCTGGTGTGATTTAATCAGGTAGTTTTGACTGATTATTTGTTTAGCTAAGAACTATTATAACATGAACGTGTTCGTTTTCATGCCAGATCTCCGTGTGTGCTTTTAAGTTTTATTTTGTGCATGGAAAAAAAAATTGTGGCATTTGCAAAAAAAAAAAAAGAAAAAAAAAAAGCAAAAGATGAAATAATCCTCGCTCAGCACTTAACAGCTGTGCACCTCTTTTCTTATGCAGTGTAAAAAGCATCTAGTAAGTGTAGGTGTGCAAGCGCTCTGCACCTCTGGATCATGAGTTTTTCCATCATTTACCAGAATTAAATGCTGAATGTAAAAAGCAAATAGTACTTTGTAAGTAAAATGAGGCAAAAAGGTTGCAGTCGGGCGAAAAAACAAACATGCCGTAGTGTAAGTCTGCTATTATAAGGAGGAAAAACACAACAAAAAGATGTTTAGGTTGTTTTTTTGCATTATGTAACCATTGGACCTGTTGGACAGAAGCCTGCATAACATTTGTACAAGAATAGCTTGTTGTGTCTGTTTTGACTGAGACTTTGCCTCAGAAATTTGTTTTCCGTCAGCTTTAGTGCACATTAAGCATTATCAGCAGAGTTGAGCCCAGTTCCACACAAACAAACACAGGTTTTTTCCTGTCAAGCAAGATTAGTTTCTATTCTTTAAGTGATTAAAAATATCGCAATAATTATTCAGCCTCGTAGTTCAAAAGGAAGCGGTTTGGTGTGAAAGAGAACGAGTGGTGCTTGTGGATGTGTTGCCTCTTCGTTCAGATTGTCTTCCTTTATGCTGCCTTGTACAGGTCACAGAGGGCAGGACTGCAGAGAGCGCAGTCTATCTGTGCTGAAGTGTGGACAGAGTAATGTGCTTTTGTGAAGCACAGAGTGGATTGTGTTACTTCTTAGAGCAGGGGTGGGCAAACTTTTTGACTTGTGGGCCGCAATGGGTTCAAAAATTTGACATAAGGGCCATACCAGGAGCAGATGGATAGTGTTTGTGCGGAATAATACAGATTACAAGGAAATGCCATTGCATAAAAGGGTTTACCTTTTAATAGGTAGTAAAGCATGAACATGCAAGGCTTTTTGAAAAAGAACTGTATTTATTAACAACAGTAAATAAACACTCTTTCACACAAAAAGTTATACTTTGACATATACTTTACTTCTTCCCCATCCATCCCCATCCATCAGTGACTCACTGGCTACAAGCCAGTCAGCTTGCTAGTTTTCAACCCCCTTTTTGTACAAACTATTTTCAGAATAATTTTTTTTCCCACACAACACAGTAGGGAAACTCGTTCATTTTCACTGTGAACAGCCTTTGTGGTAAAGCATTAATATGCAAGAATTTTTTGAAAAATAACTGCATTTATAGCAGTAAAAAATCTTTCACAAAAATAATCATCCTTTGGCACATGACTACCTAACCATATACTTCTTCCCCTTTTCAGATCCATCAGTAATTCTCACAGTCAGTTTAGGGGTGTGCATTGGTGAAATTCTGACGATATGATACGTATCAGGATACAGCGGAGACGATACGTTTTATCACGATATATTGCGATACATTCAGCCAGACGATATTAGCTCTTTTTTTAGAATTAAGTTTTTGTAGGAAAATTCAATAAACAGTCCAGACTGATACATAACATGTTTAACATGAGGTATCTGAACCATAATTGAGAGATTTACATTTCAGTGGTAAAAACATAACTCATTGCTCACTACTGCCAACTAGTGGTCAGCATTAGAATTGCATTACAAGAAAATAAAATACATAAATGTTTGCATGTGAATTCTTCCAAAAATTTGATACACAACTTTTGAATATCGATATAATATTGCAGGAAAAGATATCACGATATATTGTTCTATCGATATTTTCTTTCATCCCTACTCAGTTTTGTAGTTTTCACCCCACACAGCACACAATCTCAAGTGACTTTTCAAGTTTTGCAAAATCAGAGAATCAACGGCAGAATTCTCTGTTCAGGTCATCCAGAGATTTGCTGTATTTCTTCGCATTTCCGGTTGCCTCTGTCTGCATGGCTAATGTGGGGAAATGAGCAAAGGATTTTTTTTAAATTTGGCTAGAGAATAAGGTCAGCTTGGATTTAAAGGCTGTCACATTTGTGTACATGTCATGTACACAATGATCTTTTCCCTGTAGCTTCACATTCAGTTCATTCAAGTATGAAAAACTGTCCACAGAATAAGCAAAGTCACAGAGCCAGTTCTTATCCCTCAGCTCAGGAAATTCATTGGATTTCCCCATTAACTCCAAAAATGCACTGATCTCGTCTTTCAGCTCCCACACTCGTTGCAACACTTTGCCCAGACTTAACTAGCGGACACGAGAGTGGTAAAGCAGGTCCTGGTGATCTGCATCAGTTTCCTCCAGGAACGCAATAAACTGACGATGCTGGGTTCCCTGTGCTCGTATGAAGTTAACAAGCTTTACAACTAGATTAATTACATGATTAAGCTGCAGTACTGACTTGCACAGAGACTCATGAATGATGCAGTGAAGGAAAATAACATCATGTTCAGGGTTTTCCTCTTTCACTTTATCCTGGATTCTTTTCAGCAGTCCAATGTGTTTCCCAGTTAAATTAGGTGATCCATCCGTGTTGACGTTGGCAAGCTTCCTCCAAGGAAGCTTCAGTCTTTCAATGACAGCCGACACCCGGTCAAACAGGTCCTCTCCCCGGGTTTGTCCTTTCAGGGACTCCATGGCCAAAAACTCCTCCATTACCTTAAAATGCTCGTTAATCCCCCAAATAAAAATAAGGAGCTGAGCTGTGTCTTTTATATCATTACTTTCATCCAGTGCCAGCGAATATAAATTGAAGGATTCCGCCTTTTCGTTTAATTGGCTGGCTATGTCTTCATCAATTAGTTCCATGCGACGAGTCACAGTCCTGCGTGATAAACTAACCTTTTCAAACTTGTCTTTGCTCTCCGGACACAAAATACCTGCAGTCTCTATCATGCATTCTTTTAAAAACTCACCTTCTGAAAAAGGCTTGCCAGCCTTTGCTATTTGGAATGCTAGCAAAAAACTTGCCTAAGTACTCCCCTGTTGAATCGTAGTTTGTCGTTGAAAAAAGTTTTGCTGAGCCTGTAAATTAGCTGTCAACCTCTCAGCAGTAGCCACTCGTTCTAGTGTTGATAGCTTGCTAGCGTAGTTAGCATGCTTTGTGGAAAAATGAATGCTGATATTGTATTCTTTGAATACTGCGACTGTTTCTTGGCATATCAAACAAACAGCTGTTGATCGAACTTCAGTGAAAAAAAATTTTGCTGTCCACTTTTTATTGAAAACTTGGCACCCACTGTCCACCTTTCTTTTCTTCGGACGACTCATTTTTATGAAAGCCTGAAACGGGAAAAGCATGAAAAATAGTAAGTCCAATATAGACAGATTCAGTGAGCGATTTGAGTATAGCGCCATCTTGTGGATTACTGAAAATTGAAAATTACGTATAAATTATGTAATGTCGCTCTGTTTAACAACCACCTTGTATTTGGGGTTGTTTAGTCCTCTCATAATGGAAAATAAATCCTGTGCATTTGGGAATATTTTTATTTTTTATTTTATTTATCCAGTAAAGTCGATTGAGAACTCATTCTCATTTACAACGACTTTCTGGCCAAGAGGCAGGTGGTCGTTGCACTTCTCATTTGCACTTGATTAGCCAAAGTTATAGAGGAAACAGAATATTAAGCTGGGCATACACTGTGCGACTTTTTCTCTTTTTTGAGCCGATTTTCCACTCTTGCAAGAATCCACAAGATCGGGGCGAGTTTTGCGCTGAGCGTCGTGTAGTATACAGGCGGTTACGAGATGCGATTAACACCACGTGACCAGCGACCGATCAGCAA